AAGAAAATTCAAACATACTTTCATCTTTTTCTTCTTCACCTATAGGAAAGGGTAAAGATAAATAATTAATGATAAGTAAAAAAAAAAAAAATATATATATATATATATATATATCATTTGAATGCAAGCATACCATAAATTTCATTTTCATTAATTTCGATATCTCTTATTGAACTAATATTTCCATTAGAGAAAGTAACATTTCCTGATCCAAAGACGGCATGTTTAGTCTCCATAATAATACCTTTAATATCACTATTAAATTCCAAAGGACTATCCAAATTCTTTTTTCCATTATTTCCCATTATTTCATCATTATCAACCCAAAACGAATCTAATTTTAATCTACCTAACCTAGCCAAAATATCAGAAATTGTTGGACGAACACTAGCATCAATATCCCAACATTGTTCATATAAATCTACTAATTCAAGAGGTGTACCATTTATAGGTTTTAATCTTAACCCTTCTAATAATCTTATAGCTAAAAATTGATTATATGGTAAATTTTCAAATGGTCGTTTACCACTTGAAATATCATGCATTATTACACCTAATGAATAAATATCCAAATGTTTATCACGCGGATACGTTGTTGGGGAAGCAAAATAATTTGGATCTATGTAAGGTAATGTTGGGTATATTGAAGATTTTTGAGGTATAGATTTAGAGATTCCAAGATCTGAGATCATGAGTTGTTCATTGTGAAGAAGTATATTGTGTGGGTGCTTTTAAATATGTACGCAAGTAAAAAAAAACAAAACCAAAAAAAGAATAAGATTAACAAGAAAATAAGTTAAGCATTTATGTAATAATATTTGATTAAATGCGTATAAGATAAATATATATTTACCAATGATAGATGAACAATATCATGATTATGTATGTATTGTAAACCACTTGCTATGTCAATAATTATTCTCACTTTATCTGTCCAAGAAAGTTTTGAATGGTTGTTTTCAAGATATTGCCGTAAGTTTCCACCTTCAGCATATTGCAATACCATAAAATAATCATCATTTTGAGGATCTATAATATATAAGTTTTAAGTTAACACACTAATTAAATAAGTGGTAAATATAAAGAATACATACTATAACTATAACCAAATATTGAAAGTATATTCTGATGAAAACTCAATTTGTAAAGTAAATTTATCTATTTTCATTATAATGAAAAAAAAAATAGTAAGCAATTATTATAATAGATTTTAAAAAACCAACCAAGAGAAATATTAAAATTTTGATCATAATACATACATTATCAACCAATAACTTATTTTCACTATCATTAGAATTCTCTTTAACTGCTTGTGAAAAAGCTGCTAGAGTTTCAACTTTCTTTAAAGCAACTTTAATCATGTCATTATCATTTTTCCATGTTGATACTAAAATTGTAATGCTTTTGCCATAACCTAATGGACTTATGCCTTCGAAGCTAGAATAATCGATATTTTGTAATTTGAATATTTGTGTTGAACTTCTTGGGTCATTAGATGGAACTATATAATCTGCAGAGGATAATGATGTTGCTGATCGGGTTAACTCTTGATTTGCATATAATGTAGATATTTGAGAATTATGTTTCGTTATATTCTCCGGCGTTGTTACATCTAATGAGATAGTAATTTCAGGTTCATGAGAACTGGTAGGCTGTGAAGGCTGTGACGGTAGAGTATTCAATTCGGTTGTGGTAGTAGTTGTTATGGAAATTTTGAAGGAGTCTGTTGGTAATGTAGACATTTTTGTTTAAGAATGACGATTATTGGAAGAAGTAAAAAATCCAATGTTTAATGAATGTACAGGTCGATGCCAAAGTGTCTGGTAAGATATGTGTAGATGTATGCGCTTCGTATTTTCTTTTCCTTTTTTTTTTTTTTTTTTTTTTAATATACTCGTTTATTGTAGAGGAAGGATAATATTATGGCGTAAAAGTTAAAAACGTCCCCTGTTGTTTATGAAGTTATACAATGATACTTTTTTGTCATTAAAGTCTTTAGACAGAAAAAAAAAGTGCGGCAAAGGAAACAATAGAAATGTTGAAATAAATAAAGACTTTGGAAGGTTAAATGATGAATAAAGAAAGATGATTGGAAAGACAAAAAGAAGAAAGGAATAAGGTGGGGGAAGGAATTCCAAACTATTAAGAAAGGAATTTGTTTTATATTAACATAAACAACATTTCGAGAGACCTAAAAAAGTTGTGTCAGGTCGTTTGATGGTTTTTGTTTATATTTATTCAAAAATCTATCTAATCGAATTTTAATAAGTTAAATACAATAAATTAAACTAAGATTATACATAAGAAATTTACATAAAATTTTATACAAAAAATATTTTAATCTTATAATTTAATTTCAAAACGTTCCATGTCTATTTCATACGGTTCTTTTGAGCAAACCGAACCGGTTATCCTTTATTCTACTCTCTTATGTCTTTTTATGCCACGGTAGTCAGAATTCAAGATTAACTGGTGAAATAAGGTATTTCCTATTTCAAAACTTTTGCAGATTACCGAAAAATCTTATTTTTTATTTCCAAAGACAAAAAAGAAAGAACAACCTTGATGGTAACAACAATATAATTAAAAAATAAATTTAT